TTATATTAGAAATATTGACTTAACATTATGATGAAATACTTATTTATCATTCTGCTTTTGTATATCACTTAAAACAGAGCAGGGCATAGTTATTCCAGGAACAGGAAAAATGTTGAATAATGAGCTGATTGGATGAGTCCTGGCCAAACCCTTTGGACTATCAAGATCAGCATTATTGTTCAGTCATTTTTGGTTGTGTCCAACTCTTCATGACCCCATTTAGGGTTTTCTTGACAGAGATAGTGGAGTGCTTTGGCATTTCCTTTTCCAGTTCATTTTACAGAGGAGGAAACTGAGGCAAACAGGGTGAAGTGACTTACCCAGGGTCACACAATTATTAAGTGTCTGAGGTCACATTTGAACTCAGGTCTTCCTGACTCCAGGCCCAGCACTCTCTCTACTCCGCCACCTAGCTGCCTAAGTTGAATATTGCCTTGAACAAAAGGGGTGAAATTGAGCTTTTCAAGACAGAGTACTTGGTGGTTAACGCCCTCTGGTGTTGGGTAGTTGACATAGATGTTGGGGATGAAATTTAGGTTTACAACATTGGCCTTCATTACTGAATGCCACCAGGCCAGTGTCTACAGACATAATAAGAGAACTCTTAGCTGCCTCTGGCGATTTCATCTGTCTCAAACCAACTACATCCCCAGGTTTTTAAAGAACTGAAAGATATTATGACTGATTCACTATTATTGATTTTTAAAAGATTACAAAGAAAGGAAGATGTACTTTAAGACTTAAGAAAGACAAATACTGTTCTAATTTTAGCTAAAGAGTAGAATCTATAAACTTTATGTCATCGAGCTAGACTTCAATTAGTGACAAAAATCTGGAATATGCTATCAGTCATATTATTCTGGACCATCAAAAAAAGAAAGTAGTAATCACTAAGAGGTAGCATGTGTTCATTAAGAACAGGTCATACTATCTTCATTTCTTTTTTTTTCATTGTTTCTGAGTAGGCATATTGGGGTATTCTTTTTTCATTTTTTATTTTTGCTTTTTGATGAGGTAATCAGGGTTAAGTGACTTGCCCAGGGTCACATAGCTAGTAACTGCCAAGTGTCTGAGGCCAGATTTGAACTCAGGTCCTCCTGACTCCAAGGCCAGAACTCTATCCACTGCACCACCTACCTGCCGCACAAATTGGGGTATTCTTTAAACATTTATGTCAGATATTGATAAGTTACCTAAGCTAATCTTATGGACACGATAGATAGATTTATTAGATGATAGTACTATTGAGTCAACTCAGTAATCAAAGATTAGACCAAAAGAGTATCAATATGGAGTGAAAGTTACAGTGGAACACCCAAGGAATTTTTCAATTGGCCTGCACTATTTAAGAGTTTTGATCAATGGCTTATATGAAAGGATAGGTGGCATGTTTATCAAATTTGAAAATTATACTAAACCTGGGAAGGGTAGCAAATATGGTGGATGTAGAAGATCTAGAAAAAATACCAGCAAGTTAGAAGCAATATAATAAAATGAAATTTAATAGAAATATATATGTTTCCATGTTTAGGTTAAAAAAAAAACTTTGCAAGTACAAAAACAGTGAAGTATAAGCTAGACAGGAAAAGTGTCTTTAAAAAAAAAACATTGGCAGATTTTTTTGAATTTCAAGTTCAGAATGAATCAACAGTATGACATAACTACCAAAAACATTTCTGAAACTTAGGTCTAATTGAGAGGCATAATACTCTTACCTAGTCAGACCTTATATGAAGCATTATATTCAATTAGGGGTACCATGTTTTAGGAATATTATAGGCAAACTGGAACATATCTAGAAGCATGTTAAGACCTTCAGGACCATTTAATTGAAAGATGTTTAGCCTGAACAAGAGATGACTTTTGGGGCATATAATAGCTTATTTTGAGTATCTGGAAGAATGTCATGCAAAAGAGAAATGAGACTTGTTCTCCCTGGCCCAGAGGACAAAATTAGAACCAAAATAGAATAGTAGACAGAGTAGATGAAAGTCAGAGAGGTAAATTTTGGTAGCACATGAGGAAAATCTTCCTAACAATTACAATGAACAATAAGTGAAATAAGGTTTTTAGGTTAGTGGTAGGCTTCCTCTCATTTGGTAGGTTTCTTAGGAAGGAAGGAAATAAGTATTTATTAAGGTCCTATTATATGCCAGCCGCTGTTCTTTTAAGCACTTTACAAATGTCATCTTATTTGATCCTCACAACAATCCAAATAAATAAATGCTATCACTATTCCCATTATATGGATAAGAAAACTTAGGTTGAAAAATGTTAAATGACTTGTGCAGGGTCACAAAGCTAGAGGCAGTCCCTCTACTATTCTGTTAAGCTGCCTCTCAAACCACAGATTACTATACTGCAGAGCCTAGCACAGAGTTGGGCTTAATGAATGCATATTGATTAATTGATTGACATAGTATGATGAGGTCAGAATACCAGTGGGGTTCCATTCAAATACTTGCACTTGAATGAAAGCTGTGTTACTTATTTGATGTTTGGCTGTGGGCAAGAAAATTTATCTCTCAACCTCATTTTTCCCAAAAGTAAAATAGGGACAATTAAACCTAACATTTTGGTGGCTAGAGGAAGGTGCTTTATAAAGCACAAAATATTATAGAAATGTGAGTAATAATTATTAATAACCAAATTTTCCAATTGATCAGAAACATTTTAAGTAACTACCCCTTTCCAAATGAATGAGCATGTATTTGTTAATCATGCTTCCAGCCTTGGACTTTAAACACAAGTTAAATGGGCAGTGGCTTTGGTCTACCTCTGTCTGAAGAACTCTTCACAAAAAGATTTTTTTTAGCCAAGCCTATTAACTACACAGTCAGTGGCCCTGATGTTGACCCTCTATGTACGATATTGCTTGAGGACAGAAAGGAACTATGCCTTTGGCATATGCACTATTTAGAAGTAAGCCTCCCTGGAGATAAGGGGAAAAATACATTGGGATCTAGCAAAATATTAAAAAGTGTGGGCAAAAGAAGAAAGCTCATTTGGGGGTCATGGAGTCAGGAACACAGATGACATATGTGCCAGCTTTCATTTAGTTTAATTGCCTCATTTGGATCTCTGGGGTCTAGACTGCTTTTATTGCACAGCAAGTAAGTGTTGGTCCTAGCTCAGAACCATACGGAAAGTTGTGGGGAACGCATCCTACCAGGGGGAGGGCAGATTGCTGGACTCCTGACCTAGACAGGAGGTTGCACAGTAGTGTGTTAATTATAGCCCAGTGGCAGAATCTGGCTTGTATCAAATTGGCCCAAAGGCATTCCAAATCAGCTTAGCCCATCAAAGCTTCTCAATTTTGCTTAAAAAGTGGGAGGGAGGTGGGAGGCAGTAATCTGTAAGACAACAGCTAGTGCTATATGGTAGAAGGCGTACTGATCCCTATCCTGTCACTGACTAGCTATGTCACCTCACTTAAGTGGAGTCTCTTTGTCTCCTTGGCTCTCAATTTACTCATCTATCTAATGAGGATATTGGATTAAACACTCTCCCAGGTCCCTTCTAGTTCTTAAACCTAAAATACTATGTAATAAGCAACTAAACCCTTTTACCTGAACCTAAGGTAGTAACCATAGGAGAGCATTGGTGGCAGCGCTTCAACTGGGCCAGTCTAAGACACAAGGAAAAGTTGTCTTCTCCATCTTTCCAATTCTTTCATAAAATCATAGAATCTTAGGATTCAGAACTAGAAAGGACCTTAAAGTTTACCTAGTCCTACATGTGAGGGCACTGAATTCCATGGAAGTGGCAAGGTAGCACAATGGATATAGCAGTGGGCCTGCAGTCAGGAAGATCTGAGTTCAAATCAAGCCTCAGACACTTACTAGCTGTGTGACCCTGACAAATCACTTGCCCTGCATATGTAAAATGGTGATGATGATAGCACCCACCTAGCAGGCCGCTCTTAGGATCAAATGAGACAATAATGGTAAAGCACATAGTACAGTGCCTGACACATAGTGAGTGCTATATAAACGTTAGCTATTATTTTTATTTATGATTATTATTTTAGGGGTGATACGTATTGTTTTTGTTGCTGTTGAAGTTACTAAGTGACTACCCTCAATTACCTTTCCTTTACTATCTCTCTGTACTATAAAGGGATGGAGGAGAGGCAGGGGAGACTTGAGGGTTTTTTTTTAAGAGCCCTTCCAGTTCTAACATTCTGTGTCCTATGTTCTGAGGTCTCTTCCAGCTCTGATATTCTGTGCTTTGAGATCAAACACCCCTTCAGGCTCTGCTCCTTGATATCCTACTTTTTTTATGGTTTTTCCAACTGTCTTCCAGTTCTAGTATTGCATGCCCTATGTTCTAAGATACCATATAGCTCTGATATGATACTGGATTTTTTTTTCTTCTTTTTTAACATTTGTATAACATTTTAAGGTTTGCAAAAGGTTTAACGTATAGTAACCTCATTTGATACTCACAACCCTGTAATGTAGATGCTATTATTTTACAAATGAGGAACTGAGGATCAGACAAATTAAATGACTCACCCAAGGTCACAAATCCAGTAAGTTTCTGAGGAGAATTTTGTGCCCAGGTCTTCCTGCACTTATATATAATACACAACATCATTCTATCTTCTACAGTTTTTTCTAAGGTTTCTTCCAGCTCTGACATCCCATGACCTAAGCTCCTATATATTTCTTACAGTCTACGATCCACACTGTAAAGTCCTTTCTAACTCTCACATCCCATATCCTATGTTCTAAAATCCCATCTGGCTCTTATATCATATGTTTATGGTCCTTGACGATTCTGACGTTTGGTGTTCTAATTTTTAAGGTCCTTCTAGCTCTAATACAGCATCCAATGATCTAAGATCATTTTTTAAATCATTTCTTATAGTAACATTGCAAAATCTGTCTTCTGAATCCCCTTCCATCTCTCATTATAAGTTCTAAATTCTCTCTTTTTTTTCTGTACAAAAATTTAATGGAAACAAAGACAGTATTAAAATTGTCACCCATCTCCAGTTAGGATGATGCCTTCTTTATTTTTACTTTTTTATCTAAATTTGCAAAATATTTCATTTTTCCTAAAAGTTCCTTGGCTTTTGAAGATCACTTTATTTGGAAGACTTACTCAAATCTTCAGTCAATTCTTTTTGCTTAGCTCTAACAAAGGCTTTGATCTCTTTGGTTGCAGCTTCACTGTAAGCTTCAGCAAACTTCTCATTGACCTCTATGATTTCTCCAAGAAACTCCCTGTTCATGTCACTGTCTTCCTAAGGTCCCTTATAACCTTGTATTCTATAGGACTCTTCCAACTCTGACAGTCTAAGTTCTAAGTGACCTTCCAGATTTGACATTTTGTATGCTAAGGTCCCTGTTTAACCCTGATCTTTTAAATTCTAAGGACTTTCAGCTCTAACATTTTATATTCGAAGGCCTCCAGCTTTCTTCTAAGGTTCCAGCTTCATGATTTGGAGATTTTCTGTCCAAAACAGAGACTACTATTTCCATAGACTGTTGCTTATTTTGAAGGGGCATGTGACCACCAAAGGGTTCCATCTAAAATAACTGTTTACTTGCACAACACAAAACCTTGCAATATCTTGACTGAGGTCCAAATATGGCCTTCCTATTGCCTACAAATTCCTTTGAAGTTGAACAAAGAGGGCGGAGAAGCTTCAGCTCTGAAATTGGACATTAGTCACAGCCTGGAGAGAAAATGACAGTTCCATGATATTCTCAAGCCAGGTTTCAATGAGCTTGGTGAGGTTGGGTGTGTTTGAACCTTCTTTGAAGAGGCTGGGAGGCACTCCACATTGCCCCTGGGGCCGATACCCTTTTGTGAAAATTTCACTGGGTTATGCTTGTTTCCATATGAATTGATAGCTGATGAATATTTCCAAAGGCCTTGGCCAAAATATTGAAAATAGACTAGCATGAACACATTGTGGGAGGAATATGTTATTTCTGGAGCTGGGTGCTGGACAGAAAGGACACACCATTATCTCCTCTTGGGTAACTGACAGGGACAAAGAGACTTGATCAGAGAGCCACAGAGGTCAGTGGCAGGGGGTAGCACTTCAAACATTGCAACTAGTACTATCAGAAGAACTCAGAAGAAAAAGAAAAGTGTCTTTGTCTAATGTCAATGTAGCAGAAAAAAAGTTTCTTTAAAAAAATCATTTGACCCTAAGAGAATAGTATCAATGAAAGTTATGTTCCTGCAACTTTTTTTTTTCAAAAATGTAAATGTGCTCCTATCTCTCCTCTTCTTTGCTTTTATAGCTTGGAAAATGGTAAAGAATTATGACAGAATTTACTGGAGTTTGAAAGTAAAACAAAACAAAACAAAAACCCTCTATATTCATTGTCTTATAGCAATATATAAGAGATGCACAGGAAAGCCGAGGCTAATTTAAAGAGGCCTAGTTGTTTTGAAGATTGTTCCTGGGATGCAAAAATCATTCACATTTCTTTAAAGTTTACAAAACATATTTCTTAAAATAGTCCCTCAAGGTAGATAGTATGGAGGTTGTTTTGTTTTTGTTTTTGTTTTCCCCTATCCTTCTATGGTTGAATAAATTGAAGCTCAGAGAGTTTTAATGCAGCTAATAATTGTCACAGCAAAGACTCAAAATCAGGTAATTTAATTCAAGGTCTACTGTGTTTTCTACTGTGCCAAGATATAACTGTACAATCTCTAAAGTCCTTTCTAGCTATAATAATAATTATTGCTAATAATTATTATTATAAATAATGTCTAGCATTTATATAATACATTCAGGTTTACAAAGCATTTTGCAAACATTATCTCATTTGATCCTCACAACAACCCTGGGAAGTAGAGGTTATTATTATCCATATTTTCATAGAGGAGAAAACTGAGGTAGACTGAAGTTAAGTGACTTATCCAGGATCACACAGTTAGTGGCTCTCTAAAGCTAGTTTGAACAATGGTTTTCCTGACTCCACGTACATCACTCTATCCACTTAGTCACCTAATTTCTTAGCATCATAGGACTCAGAACTGGGATGATTGTAGAGTCCAAATATACTCTGTGACTTCTATTGCAGAAATAGGATCCCAGAATGTCAGGCCTGGGGTTTCTTTCCTGTTCTGACTCTGAAGAGCTATGTGAGATGAAGAAAACCACTTCTCTCTGGGCTTCAGGGTTTTTTTTCTTTATAAAACACTTGAAGGAACAAGATTCAGGATGAACAAGTTCAAATACCACACTGTGAATTTGCTGTTGTCAGGAGAGTCTAATTATTTCCCTCATGTGTCAACATGTGTGTGTGTGTGTGCATGTATTCCTAGTGGCCTGCCCCTCTAACCAAAAATATAAATGATTTATCTACATGGATCTGTGTGCTGTTATTTTGTTTTATTCATTTATTCATTCATTAGACAAGTTTGTTAAACACTTGCTCCGTGAGTATAAAGTTTAGATTTGATGGAGTTCCTATGCTCAAAGGCTTTACAATTCATTAGGGTAAAATTATACAAACACAGATAATAACAATGCAAAATGTTACACTGTTAGTGTATACAGATTACACCACTGGTGAAATTGGCTAATGATGATGATTAAGCCTGATTCACCCTTAACCTACATGGTGGATTGCACTGACTCAGCTTTAGCCCTAAAGTAGTGTATTAATTACTTGGGATGAGCAATGATGTTGATATTGGTTTCACTTTATCATAGGAATGGCCACCTTTGTAAGTTTCTCCTGATACTAGACTCATTTGGAATCTCTTCCCCTGTCAGACTATGGGCTCCTTGAGATGAAGGACCTTCTTTTGCCTTGCTTTGTACCCCCAAGGCTAAACAAAGTACCTGGTACAAAGTTGTTGTTATTGTTCAGTCATTTCAGTCATGTCCTAATTTTCATGACCCCATTTGGGGTTTTCCTTGCTAAAGATACTGGAGTGGTTTGTCATTTCCTTTTCCAGATCATTTTACAGATGAACTGAGGCAAACAGAGTTAAATGACTTGCCCAAGGTCATGTAGCTAGTAAGTATCTGAGGTCGGATTTGAACTCAGGAAGATAAATCTTCCTGACTTCAGGCCCACCACTCTATCCATTGTGCTATTTAACTGCCCCTGGCACAGAGTCAGCATTTAATAAGTGCTTATTGACTGACTGGACATGATCAGTTGATGCCAGATTGAGCTGGTTTCTCCACCTCTTGGTAATTCTCTGCTGAGTTCTAGATTTCATGACATGCACATATTTCCGTGCTTTCATGTGTTGTGGTTTTAATTCTGTGGTTTTAAACAATATTACACCAAGACAATATGGAGGGGAAAAAATTCTATTGCTTTCAATGAGTACACAGCAATGACTATTAGAGATATTACAAGAACTGATAGGGTGGGAGAACTTTAACATTTCAGATTATTCAATCCCTCAATGAAATAGGATCAGTAGCACTGAAACAATTTTTTAAAAAGTGCAATTAACAACAAAAAAAATGAAACTACATCTCATCATTGTAAGTGGGAAGGAACTAATTATGAAGAACAAATGAAGTTGCCTGTAAGTATCACAGCCATTTTTTAAGGCTTAACTATAATGATCCTTCAAAATCTTAGTCTCTCCGTATTTACTGGTTCCTTCTCTAACATGTTAACACACATGCTCAAATGGTATTTATCGTTACAAAATCTACTAGCTTCTACACCCACCCTTAAATTATCACCCTATGGTATATCTCACCTTGCTTTCTCAATCAAACTCCGAGAAAAAGTTAGCTACACTTGCTTCATCTGCTTCCACTTCTCACTCAAACATTTTCCTCCTCAAATCTTTCAAATTTGGCTTCTGACCTCCATCGATTGCCCATCTGAAACTGCTCTCTGCAAAGTTACCAGTGATTTCTTAATTGTTAAATCTTGAATATCATGACCTTTTCTCAGCCCGTATCTGTCTTGACTCTTTTGCAGCCTTTGGTACTGCTGACTACTCTCTCCTCCTACATATTTCACTTTCTTCAGATTTTATGATGGTGATTCCTTTTGGTTTTCCTCCTACCTCTGTGATTCTTCCTCTATCTCAATCTATCAATAAACATCAATAAAGCACTTACTATGTGCCAATGCTAAGGGCTAAAGATACAAATAGAGGCAAAAGACATAATTTACCTTCAACAAGTTTGCAATCTAATGTGGGAGAAAACATACACATGCACACACACATACATATGTACACATATACACATATGTGTGTGTATATGTATATATGTATGTGCATATATATGTATATATAATGCTATATACAGAATAAATAGGAAACAATTCACAGAGGAAAGGCATTAAAATTGAGAGAGGTTAGGAAAGGCTTCCTCTAGAAGCTAAGATTTTAGTTGAGACTTAAAGAAAGCCAGAGAGATCAGTAGTTGGAACAGAAGAGGAATAGCTTTCCAGGCACAGAAGATAGACAGAGAAAATGTCTGGAACTGAGACATAAAGTATCTGGTTAGTGGAAAAGCAAAGAGGTCAATGTCACTGGATTGAAGAGTACATGGTGAAGAGTAAGGAGTAAAAAGATTGGAAAGGTAGGAGAGGGCTAGGTTAGAAAGGGCTTTCAACATCAAACAGAGCATCCTAGAAGCAATAGGAAGTGACTGAAGTTTATTGAATAGAGGGGTAACATGATTTAGATCTAATATTTAGGAAAATCACTTTGGTGGCTAAATAGAAGATGGAACGGAATGGGAAAAGACAAGGCAGTCACACTCATCAGAAGGCCATTGCAATAATCCAGGTTTGAGGTGGCAAAGGCTTACACTAGGGTGGTGTCAGTGTCAGAGAAGAGAAGGGGATGTATTCAAGAGATGTTGCAAATATGAAATCAACTGGCCTTGGCAACAGGTTGGATATGAGAGATAGTGAGGAGGCCAGGATAACTCTTAGGTTGTAATCAGAGGGACTGGGATAGTGGTGCTGTCCTTCACAGTAATATGGAAGTTAGGTCGGGAATGGTCTTAGGGGCAAAGATAGCCATTCCTTTTTAGACATGTTGAGTTTAAGATATCTACTGGACATCCAATTCAATGCCTAATAGAGATGAAGATTAGAGGTCAACTGATAATTTGGTACAGGAAAGACAGATTTGAGAATCATTAGTATAAATATGGTAATTAAACCAATAAGAGCTGCTGAGATCACCAAAGGAAGTAGTATAGAGGGAGAAGATAAGAGGGCCCAGCACAAAACTCTGAGTGACACAATTAGAAGTTAGTTGGCTATTTGC